AGAACAAGTATTGCTTTCCTGTGATAATTTGTTTCAGTTTGCAGTTTTGCCTTTGGAAGCAAGCAGAGGCAAAGGAGATGCAGTACCACAGCATAATGCAGAATGATCTGTATCATTACTTTAGTTTTGCATCTAAAAGTACAGAAAAGTGGTTGTAATGACAGCTCTCAGCCACCAGAAGTTCCACCTAAAATCATATACTGGGTTCCTGTGATGGACTTGGAGTTAATATTCTTCACGGTAGCTGGTATGGGGCTTTGTTTTGGATTTGTACTCAAAACAGTGTTGATCATCCTAGAATGGTTTGGGTTGAAAGGGACCTTTAGGATCATCTAATTCCAACCTCGTGTCATCGGCAGGGACACCTCCCACTAGACCACCTTGCTCAGAGCCCCATTCTACCTGGCCTCAAACACTTCCAGGGAATGGAGCAGCCACAGCTTCTCTGGACAACCTGTGCCCGTGAACAGCAAGATGCTTTTGTTATTGCTGAGCAGTGCTCACACAGAGCCAAAGCTTTTGCTGCTCCCCACAGACCCCACCAGTGAAGGGGCTGGAGGTGTACAAGGAGTTGGAAGGGGACACAGGCAGGACAGCTGACCCCAAATGACCCAAGGGATATCCAGCCCATATGGTGTCATGATCAGCATGTAAAGCTGGGGCAAGAAGAAAGACTAGAACACTGGTAACCATGGCATTTGTCTTCCCAAGCCACCCTTACACGTGATGGAGCCCTGCTGTCCTGGAGCTGAACACCTGCCTGCCCATTTTGCTTTCCCTAATAAACTGCCTGCCTCAGCCCACCAGTTTGCTCAGTTTTATCCTTCCGATTCTCTCCCCCATCCCACCAGGGGACAGTGAATGTGTGGCTGCACAGGGCTGAGCTTATTATGGGGTTAAATCACAGCAGTTGCTTTTTAATAAACCCTATAAAAAACAATTTACTTCTGTAGGCATATCAACTAGCAAATTTTGTGAGTTAACACTGTCACCATCTTGACAGACACTCAACTTTACTCCTTCCTAAGACATTCAAGATTGTCAAAACTGCAACCCTAGTCACAACATTGTACTTAAAGCAAGAATAAGCAGCCATAAAGGCAAGATAATTGTTCTTCATAAAATAAAACCTTCACCAGATAACTATAGTTTGTATTACTTTTTTTGAATGGCTGCAACTTTTAGATGAGCCACCAGCCAGAAAAATTAAGCTATTTTATCACAGAGCTTCTATAAGTAACAGACCATTTCCAGATCTATCAGTTTATCCCACTATTCAATAGTGAGGAGTGAAATCAACACCATACATTCTTATTTTCCTAATCAAGTATGCTTTACATCACCCACTAAATTCCAACCTCTGTAGAGTTGGTTAAAGCGTCTAACATGCTACTAACACAGGTTAATTTGATATCCAAATTAGTCAGACTACTACTGAAAACTATTCATACCTGAGCACTGCTGTCTTCACTGTTTGCCTTGAAATTCTCAGTTAAGGAGAAGTAATACAGCAAAGTTCAAATGCTGTCTATGTGATAACAAAAATCTAAAAAGCTTCTAAGAAATAACTGATAGCTTCCAAGCTGTCAGCATCTGCTCAGCATCCCTTCCTGTACGGAAAGGTTATACCTTGCTTCCTTAATAATGAGCAAGTACTTTGTTCTAATTATTAACAGGAAAGAAAATATGACTCTTATACAACTACTGAACAACATCCCAACTTAAGCTCCTTGTTCTCCCTGGGGATCCTAATACAAAGAAAGTAACTTCTGCTGGCATCTCCCAAGAGTAACTCTTCAGAAAAGACAATATAGGCCATGCTTAAAAAAAAAAAAAAAAAAACAAACAAAAAAACACAAAAACCCCGTCACTGGGGAACTGCTGAGCATCAAAACATTTTAAAAGATAATTAAGGAAACACTCAAACCACTGATTATCTTACTTGACTGCAAAAGTAATATGAAGAGGAGTTACAAATAGGTTTCATGTCACAGTTGAGATTTAAGTCTTGCTCCAGGTTTCTAAAAAATTCAGGAGAAAGAACCCAACACTTTGAGGTTCCATAGATATTTATTTAGATTTTATTATGTCACTGCAAATCTACTGTCAAGCAATGCTGGTATCAAAAGTGAAACTGACTGTACATTGCAAACTGAAATCAAAATCCTTTTGCATTCCAAGGAAAACTACACACAGTTGTAAATTACAGATATTTAGCAATAAAAGAATCCCTTCAGTTTTCCATCAGTGTTTAGCAACTTTATGACTTGTATCCTTAAAAACACCACCTTGAGGGCTACTTGAAGTAAAAATCATGTAGAGAAACGTAGTCAATGCAGACATTTTCCCAAAAACGTAAAACACACCAGTAATAATGTGTACCACAGCCCAAGACCACAGACCAAGCCCAACAAATTGGTTTTATCAAAGGAAAAAATAACCAAGACACCCATCAACTATCAGACAAAACATCAAGATTTATCCAAGTTTGTTTGTCACACCTCCACACTTTCCTTTTTAGAGATGAGAATGACCTCTACACTTATATCAGCTACACCAGGCACAAGAAAAGAACCCCAGTACTTCAGACATTACATTTTCAGAAGCTGCATCTGCTCCCATTTGGGGGGACTATTCTAAAGCAGGGAAAATAACCTGTCCCTTGCCAAACAGGAAGGGCGATACAAAGAAAAGTTTAAACATTTGACAGGAATCAAATCAACCCATAAAGCAAACTCCGTAACACAAGTCATTTGAAATCTTTTCAGGAAAGAGTCATGCAGTAAACACCACCCTGTTGACAAACCCCATCATGCAATTAAAGTCATCAGAAATTATGATGTTTGAGGTTTTTTTAATAAAATGCATATTTTTGAAATACAGGCCACTATCTCACCTTTTCAGTTTAATTTATTTTGCAGTTCACACAACTAAATTACTCTTACATATCCACTCACTTTGTGCCACACAATAAGAGCATTAAGTTTGCTTTGCAAACGCCACTTTAAAATTACTGTTTTCGCTAAAAAATTCAAACTTTTAAATGTGTTGGTGTTTTTTATTAATAAGTTTTGCAACAGTTTAACAAAACAACGTTTTTTCTAAACGGTTTCTCAAAAACGAGTCAGTCCTTTATATAACATAAGAGGTACAGGAGTCGTGGGGAATTGAATCTAAACATAAGCCTTCCACAAAGTTAACCCTGTTTAAAGAATTTTAAGAAATTTAAGCTTAGATTACAGCTCTTTCATATTGAGACAACATGAGGAGGAAACACATGAATCATATTTCACTCCGTTTCAGCAGCGGCTGCTGTGAATTCACAGACAGGACATCTGCACTTAGCAAAATACAACTTCCTTTACATGAAGAAACACCTACACGCCGATTTAATCACACAACGCTCCCTTCCCCGTCCCAGACAGGGTGGGCTTGGTGGGGCAGGAGGCGAGAGCGAGCGCGTTTTGGGGGAAAGCAGCAGGGGCTGCCGGAGCAGGAGCAGCCCTGAGCCGGGCTTCTCCAGCAGCAGGAAGTTTCCAAGGGGCCTTGCCGAGCATGCGCCCTGGGCCGCACGGGCTCCCTATGTGGCAAGAGTGCAGAGGCAACAACCAAACGAATAACAGAGACAAGAGATCAAGAGCAACAAGCTCCCTCCCCTCTGTATTCCTGCGGCCGCCTCCACACAGCCCTCCTTCCCCAGGCTGCTCTCTTGGCCCGGGCCCTCCCGCATCCATCGCGGGCAGCTGGGATTAGGGAGTCTGGCAGGCAAACCTGCTACTGGAGAGGGAGGAGAGGAGAGCGAGAGCGGCTCGAAAGCAAACAGAGGAGTGCATAACCTGTGCCTCCACCTCGCACGTCTCAGGTGGCGGCGGGGGAGCAGCAGCGAGCGCACAGCGTGTCCCCCCCGCGACTGGAAGAGGGGATGGGGGAGGAGGAGGGGGGAGAAAAGAGGGATGGAGGTGGCACACAATGGCTGTCTGTGTTTGTGGGGAGGAGACGGCCCACAACAGCAGCCGTGGGGGGGCTCAGGGCTTCTCCGTGACCCCCATTCCTCACCGCAGATACACCGAGGTGAAAGGGGGGGGGGTCACTGGGGATCGGGACATTCCCATGTGTTTGTATATGTGTGCGCCCTTCTTGCTTCGGGGGAGAGGTAAAAGCGGGCACAGATATTGGGGGGAGGGGGGGAAGAGGCTGTGAAGCGCCCCCCAAGCTGTGGGGAAGGGAGGAGGTGGAAGAGAGACCGGCTACCAGCGCCAAGCTGAACGAAAATAGTTATTTCGTCTTATGCCTGTTTTCTGCAAGGAGTCCCACCCGCACAGAGCTCGGGAACGAACCCAGGGAAGCGGGGGGGGAGGGAGGAACGGAGGGGGGTCACAGGCGGCACTGAGAGGGAGCAGAGGGGAAGGGGAAGGCCCCCACCTCCTTCCCGTGCCCGCCGCGGGGGCAGGCAGCTCTCCCCCCAGTATACACACACAAATAGCTGCTCCCCCCCGAAAAAACAGGGAGAGAGGGCTCCCCTCCCCCCGGGAATCCCAGGCCCCTCCTCTCCCTCGGCGCGCTCCACCCCCGGGGCCGGGAGGAGGCGGGGGGGGGACAGCCCCGGCCCCCCCTCCGCCCCCCGGGCCCCCCTCAGCCGGCCGGCCCGGAGCGGGCGGGCGGGAGCGGTTTGGGAGTCGCTTACCTTGGTCTCCGGGCTCCTGCGGCGGTTGCAGGACGCGCTCCAGCTCCGGGAAGGGCAGCTCGGGCAGGTCCAGCAGGGCCCCGTAGCGCTCGAGGAAGGAGCAGACAACGGCGAAGTTGGGCCAGGAGCCCGGGCAGCGCGGGCCCGCCGGGGCAGGGGGCGGCGGGGATGGGGCCGGAGGAGCCGCCGCCGCCGCCGCCATCTTGGACCTGGGGATGGAGAAGGAGCTGGGGAGGGGGAGGGAGGAGGGGGCGCTGCCGGGCCGGGCCGCCACTATCCCACAATGCACCGGGGGGACGATGAAGGCAGGGGAGGGCAGGGGGCGGCGGCCAGAGCGGCGCGAGCCGGCTCCCCTCCGCCGCGCGCGGCGAGGGGGAATGAAAACAAGGCGGGGCAGGGGCGGGGGTAGGCCCTCGGGCCGACCAATCGGAGAGGGCGGAGGGCGGGACCGGCAGGGAGCGCTGCCCAATGAGAGCGTGGCAGCCTGGAGGCCCCGCCCCCTCCCCGCGGGGCCGGGCGGAGGCGGAGCCTGGCGGGGCAGCGGGGTCGCGCGCGCGGGGCGGTGAGTGCGGGCGCGTGAGGGAGCCCCGGCGTGAGGGGAGCGGGCGGGAGGCGCGGCCGGCGCCGGTGCCTGTCCCGGCCCTGTCCCGGCCCTGTGCCCCGTCACGCCAGGCCGTGTTTCGGGCGGTCCTGAACTGCGCCTTCCCTTCCCAACTGCCTCCCTCCACCCCTCCCGCGGTGCTTCTCAGCGTTCTCCGTCCTTGCCTCCTTGCTTCTCTCCGCTGTATTCCCAAAGTGCTGTTCCCCTCACTCTGCTCTCACTGCCAGGTCTCCGTGACCTCCCGGTTAACTGCCGTCACAAGGCTCCCCAGCGAAAAGCAATTGCTGAATTCCCAAATTGTGTTTTCCTCCTTCGTGAACTTGACACCTTCTCCCTCCGTACACAGTTGATCTAAACTTCTCCCGTCCTGGCTGTTCGCCTTGCTGCTGTCAGTTTTTAATCCTGACCTTCCTCTGGCTGCTGTATCCCCTGGAATGGGAAGTCGCCGCCTCCTGCCCCTGCTCCCAGGCAGCGCTGGAAAACCACGTTGTCCTCTGACACCTTACAGGAATTGGTTCTGCCCAAAACTTCTCGTACACCGATTTACTCTTCCCCCTGTATCCTCTTCAGTCTCAGGTTGCCCCTTGGATTTTACAAAACGTCCTTTCCTTCTTCAGCGTCTCAATAAAATGTCATCGGGTGCACTGCTCTCATTCACCTCTTTTATTTCATTTATTGCTGGTTACCTCCACAGAAGAAAGGTGCGCTGACAATCTTAAAGTCCACCAGCTTGCCCAGCTGCAATTCAATCTCAGCTTTCTTCCGCTTCCTTCTCAGCTACTTTTGCCTTCTGCCATCCTTATCCACTGCTTCATTTATCTTTTTCAGTATAGTCTCCTGGCATAAACATTCATTTTGCCTCCTTTTAAGTTCTACTTCTTTTATTTCTGATGTTTTTAAACTCTCATGATTTTGCTTGTAGTGTTCTGAGCCATTTCTGCTCCTTGTCTCTTTGTGTTTGGACTACTGCAGTTTGCAGAAATTGCAATTTTAGGTTGTACTTGCAAGTAATTTAACTCAAGGCTTCTTTTGATCTTAAGTGTTAATATATATTTTAATACTTTACATTTCTCACAGTGAATAATTAAAAAAATAGTTTGAGAACTATTTTCCTGCTCCTCATGAGGAGCCATGCTCTACATCAAAGGATGCCCAAAGTTTCTATCAATGAGTTCATTCTCACTCTAAGATGTTCTTATTTATTCTAGTGGTCTGATAATCTTACTGGCAGTATTATGGGAAATAGTTTTAGAGGATAAATTTTTATTTGTACCTTGTAAGTTTTGTTGCTTCATTTCTGCTATTTACTTATTTTTACGCCGTTTATAAAAGATAGCATGGAATCCTTGTTCTCTCATTTGCAGTTTGTGCCTGTTTGATTGCACAGTTCCAGCCTTGTGATACTGTTTGGATTGGGGAAGACGATATTCCTGATCATCTTGTTGTTCATTCACCTATGTCCAACCTCCAGGTCTAATTCTACCATTTCATCTGAAAAGGAGCACAGGCAAAAATTATTTTCATTCTTCAGAGGCAGGTTCTGGGTGCTTTATTCAGCCTTTACTCTTTGATTTCATTCTGTTGGGACTACTGCTGGTTATTTCTTCAGCTAGAATATCCCTTCAGACAGACCTTTGGAAAAATAATCTTACAAATCCTTGTTTCAATCCTTTGCATCATGGGTGTGCCATGAGAGAATCTAGACTGTATTAATCCAAGCAAGTTTTAGTCCCCTCTAGCTGCTTGCCTCGCTCCTGTTTGACAGGACACATGTGCCACTAACTTCACTCAGGAGTGAGAAGGAGAAGAAATGCCCCACTGTCCTGTGTGAGGAGCACCTCTGGCACCCTCAGTCCTTGCTGAATCCAAAGCAATGCGCTTTTTCCTTCATGCAGTGTTTTAGGTGGGATGCTGAGATCTGCTTCTGGCAATCCAAGGAGAGCACATCCCGTCTGGCACTGCTGCACCTTTTGTAGCACATGCAAGACAGGAAGGGAGGCTTCCAGGAGGACTGGAAGCATGGTCATCCAAAGATTTATCTTTTGCAAAGGCAGTGCCTTTAATCTGTGCTGCCAGGGTTCGTGTAATGAATTTAAGCTATTCAATTCCTGGTGAATGTAAACAATTAAAAAATAAAGGATGAGAATCTGTGTATCTGGAAGGATCTGCCACAGAGATGTTCTGGATTAGGCAGAGGTGGACCTCTTTCTACTGGAGAAACATCAAGTTTTCTTCAAAACATGGGTTTCAGACCATGTGACTTGGAAGGGCAGAAAGATGACTCTGCCCTGGAGATGTGTCAGTGGACTGCCACGCTAGTCCAAAGCATTTCCAGGCTATCATCCCCCTGTGATTCCTCTCTTTCCATTCACTGCCAGAATCACCACAGCAGTCAGACTGCAGTACCTGAGGGACAGTGAGGAGGGGAAAGCTTCTGTGGGGAGCTGACACGGGGCCTTGTGAGGCAGTCCCTGCCCTGCTGGTGCCCAGCAGTGATTGTGGAAGCGGATCCCAACATCGCTGTGCCACACACCAAAAAGCAGTTGGGCTACAGGGGCACTGGTAAGGCTCTGTCAAGTTCTAGGCAGCAGACATCAAAGGAGGATGTGTACCAGTGGTTGGCTGCTAAAGGAAAAAGGGAGAAAATAAGCAGAGACTTAGAAAACATGACTGACGGGATGTTTATTTAATCTAAATGAAATAAAAGAAAAATACTGAGTGAAATCCTCAAGAAAACAAAACAAAACAAGAGATTAAAAAGACAAATATTAAGCTGTTCTACTTGTCCCCAGCAGAAAGGATTAGAAATAATGGATTTAAGTTGAAACAATGAAGATGGAGCTCAAGCAATTGGACAAGTTCTTATTTGGATGTATAATCCTGGGGGAGTTGGTCTCTGTCAGCAGTGTCTGGGGAAAGGCTTGACCCCTTTACATCCCTGAAAGTCTTGTTTTCTGTAGAAATGTGACAGGGACACTGTTTGGTTCATGGATTTGCTGTTGGGCTTGATTGGCATTTCCTTTTAACCTCATTTAACACTTCAATGGTAAAAGAAGAAAGTGGCCAATGAAATAGTGCAGATTTCTGATATTTTAACAAATTACTATCATCCTCATTGTTCATTTTCGGGAGAAGATTAAAACCCAGATGGGAGAGGATATTCTGGGACTTGATCCCTGTTGATAGTTTTAGAAGTTGAACATCCAATACTTGAACAGATTTAGCACGTAAAATGATTTGCCCAAAATCCTGCACAAAATCCCCAAGAGGACAGGCAATTCAACAAATCTGCTGATGCTCAGTTCAAGTCTGTTGTCACAAAACCACGTGGATAAAGTCTGTAACAGCATTTCCTTCCTAGCTCCTTGGGGCGAGGACAGAATTTTCCATTTTTATTACCATGCTGCATATGTTGGCCTGATGTTAAGTATTAAATATCCTTTTTCCAGACTCCGGTTCAACTTTGTGATGTCTTCCCCTGAAATTGCTTCCCTTTCTTGGGGTCAGATGAAGGTGAAAGGCTGCTCTACAACATACAAGGACTGCAAAGTATGGCCGGGAGGGAGCCGGACGTGGGACTGGCGAGAAACTGGGACTAATGTAAGTCTGCTGTTTAGTACCCTACCTTTGAAACAGGACTCTGAGAATGGTCCAGAGAACAGTGTTAAAGTTCCAGCCAGAAATTCAGTGAGCTGCCTTTTTCTTTCACCTAGCCATTAGATTTTCCTGGTAAGAATTGAGTGAATGTTTTGGAGGTGACTTTGTGGGGGTCAGAGGGCTGCAGTCCCACTATGTCGTACACACAACAGGGTATAGCAACTGTTGCCATGAGTTCTGACAGCCACCCTCACCAAACAACTCACACACCTTAGAGCTCTCAAACAATATTCCTCATCTGTTTAAGAGTGCAATTGTCATAAGGTGCCAGTAACAACCTCTCTTCAGACTGTCCAAACAAAAGTTATCTTGAGTGAGATAGGGAAAGAAATTATGAAGAGTTTAAAAAAAAAACAAACCAGACAGTAACTGATCTTGCATGTTTGGAAGACAACATTGCATGTGGTTTAGTTTTTATCCTGTTCCTTGGGGTCCCATGTACATATTTTAGAGGAAAAATATGCAGATACAGTGTCTCATGCTCTATTTTCTCTGTGAAAAGCTCACGGTCTGGCTAATCACACAGTGACTTCTCTTGGTAGCCATATACTAAGTGCTTGCCCTTGTAATTTTTAAGGTTTATCTGTAAATGCAATCAGAATTGGATGAAAGTACATGGAGCAGTATTGATGTTTCAGATTTAGAAGCAGTATAGCATATATTGCAATAGGAACTGGATGTTGATAATTCTCCCCATATTAGGACTTGAACTGGGATAGATGATTGGCTAGGAAAAAAGAAGTTCCACACTTTCAAAGCAAAAGTTCAAGCACAAAATAACAATGTAGTGACCAGGCCCAGCACCTGCAGCTGTATCCGTGCAGAGGATACAGCTCTCTTGGATTCATTTTGACACAAGTGAAATGCAAAGCATTTGGGTTTGCAACTTCATCTGTAATCTTTGGGAGAATAGAACTTTTTTAATCGGTCAGAGTTCAGTTTATGCAGAATATATAACACCAAGGAAAGGTGCTGCTGTCATGCAAAGATATCTGCACCTTGCAGAGGAAAAGGTAGCTGTATGTAACCTTCTAAAATGTATTTCATTTATGGCCTGGTTATTAAAAAATAAGTTTTCACTAGCTGTTCAAAAGGCTGGGTTTTGTGGTGAGAGTTGCTCTCTGCTTGCTTGACAATATCATTTTTGTGCTTTATATTCACATGGCTGGAGAAGCAGAACAGGTAACAATAGCCAAAAAGTTCCCAACTAGTTCCCATCCCAATCACATTTTTATATTTATTCCAACCACTGGAAAATTTTGGTTTCAAATTATAGGCGCTTACTAACATTTAGGAGGCTGTGCTTTCTTTTGAAAGTTTCTAACAAGGAATAACTTCTTGTCGTAAGTACAATGTTTAAATCCATAAGTTTTTTGAGGACTTGTAAGACAAGTCAGTGTTAAATTAAAATTGGAGGAGAAAAAGAATAGTTGGGTTCTCTGGAGAGGTAGGTTTTCTGGCATCCTTTTTATTTAATCAGGAAGTAAAAAATACGTATCTAAAGTAAGGCCTTATATAAGTCACTCGTTCAGCTCCTGCTTTAGTTCTATCCTTGCAGCTGAGGAGTGAGGTGATTTTCTTTTAAAATAAATAGCAAACAACAAATATTAAGAATAGAAGTAACCTTTTTCTAGGATGCATCTCCAGTGTTGAGAAGAACTGTCAATACTTTAATTTTGTCAGCACTGGAAACAGTAAGATTCAACAGCTGCATTTTCTGCCACTCCATCTTTTTTAAAGATGGAGTAATTTACTTACTTTCCTTAAGCATGTTTTTCCTGGAGGTAGCTGGAACTGAAGTGTGGAAAACAAGCAGTGCTGGTCATGTCCTACTCTCTAGTTGGAAATAAATTGCTTCCTTTCCTCCTCTGCTGTCACACTGCTGTCTAGTGAAGCATTCTTTCATCAGGAAAATTGTATAACTGGCCCTGCAAGGTTCTGTAACTGAGCACTAACAGTTATTGTGGCCTTAACCCTTGGGATGAATGGCACCCTCTCTCCTTGGCTGGCTGCATTTCAGTGCCGTCTGCTAATGGCAGAAGAAAAGACGTAGGTATTGCTGAAATGAAGGCCAGAGAACAGAGCAGGCAAGAAAATCTGCTGTCAAATCAACAATGATACAGTTATTTCATCATGTTACATGTTTCCCTTAGTAACACTAGTTTCTTGCTAGCATCAAAGTGTCCTGTGTAACCAAAGAAAATCCTTTTGTTCCACAGATTTAACGTCTCAAGAGCGCTTCTCACATGACAGCAAACCTTCCCCAGAATTCTAATTATTGTAATTGCAGTAAAACACACCAATTCTTCTTGTCTAAGTTTTGAGTCTACTTAAAAAACCCCAAAGGAAAAGCATTGCCTATTCTGTCATAAACAAGTACTTAGAGTGATTTGGTCTGAGAAAGCTCTGCCCATTCAAATGAGTTCTGTATTCCAAGTGTGGATATGGAATGTAAACAGACTAAGGGGAACACAGCCTTTGGTCCTGGCAGCCCAAAGGGCCAGACATGTCCTGGAGCGTGTCAAGCACAGCACAGCCAAGGGAGGTGCTTGTTCCACTCTGCTCTGCGCTGGGGCAGCCCCACCTCAAGTTCTGGGTGCAATTTTGGGCACCTCAACATAAGGAGGACATCTGACTGTTAGACTGTGTTCCAAGGAGGGTGATGAAGATGCTGAAAGGCCTCGAGGGCAAGGCTTATCAGGAGTACCTGAGGTCATTTGGCTTGTTCATCTTGGAGAAGAGGAGGCTGAGGGGTGAGACCTCATTGCAACCTAAAATTTCCAGAGGCAGGGCAGTGCAGGCAAGGTGCTGATCTCTCTGGTGACCAGCAGTAGAACCCATGGAAATGCAGTCAGGCTTCAAGGGGATGTTCAGATGGAGTGTTAGGAAAAGGCTTTCCACCCAGAGGATGCTCAGGCTCTGGAACAGGCTCTCCAGGGAGGTGATCACAGAGCAATCTTGTCAGAGTTCCAGAAGCATCTGGATGATGCTCTTAAGTCGTGGTTTAGCTCAAGATAGTCCTGTGAATGATTCTCATGGATCTCTTCCAACTTGAGGTGTTCTATGATTCTGTGAACTTGGAGAACCATAAAGGTGAATCATCTCTGTTGCTGAAATTTCAGACATCAGCCATCCTAAAGACTTTCTTGTGGAATAAGTTTAATTCACTCATTGGAAGTGGCACTCTACCATGGAAGGCTTTTTTCACCTGCAACTTTAGGAGCTCATGTGTTTGTTTCAGCTTGGAAAGTCTTACTTGCTCCATTCTCCATGAGTCCATCATGGCATGACCTACTTCAAGTGAGAAATTCAAACCTCTTGAAAACTTCAGAACTTCAGAATTCTACTTGAAAAAAAAACAAAAAAGGAGTGGGGGGAACAAATAATATTTATGTTTTAAAAATAAAAATACACACCAAAGAGGGGCCAAATTATAGCCACAGGATTCCAGTATCTTACTCTTGACCACATGGAGATACACAGAAACTGAATCCAGGAGGAGAATTAGGGTAACATAATAATGTTTTATTAACATAGGTGTGTTTATGCATTCATACGTTTAAAGCATAATAGCAGTAAGTGGGTGTACTTTTTAAAACATTTGTTAATGTGGTGTGTAAGTTCCTTCTTTCTCTGGGGCATTTGGATTCAAATATTCTTTTCTCAAAATAAAGAATAGTGCAGAAATCCAAGCTGTTAACTGAAATTAAGCTACCCAATAAATTTCAGTCCTCTTTGGTGAGATTTGCAAAGTAAACAAGAAAATGATTTAATAATTTTAATTATCTGAGGAGTTATTTGTATTTAATGTGAGTAAACTTTGGCTTGCAACCATCTTTCTTTCAAGTAGATTTTGTGATTTTGAAATCAAACAGCAGTATTGTTGCAATTTATTGATTTCACCTTAACTGTTAATATTTATAAAATATCAGAAGTTAGACAAAAATGTTTAAGAAATTGGTAATGCATCTTTTTGGTTTTGATAAGGAATTATAATCTCATCATCAATCAATTAATTATCATCCTTCATTTGCATATTAAATACCTTTTTCAGTTTCTAATGTTATCTACTGTGTGTACATACAGAAGAGGGTTGTGTTACATTCTGGTTCTGCTAATTTACCCTGCTGCTCTGTGTTCAGGACACACAGACACAGCTTTCCTGGCTGATGCTGTCAGTACACAGACTATTATTTTCCTTCCCTGACACTTAGCATTCTCCAGGAGTGCAGCCAGCTGACCTTGAAGAAGTCGTCAAGAAGGGTGTTAAAACTGTGGTGATTGGTCGTGGCATGAGCGAGGCTTTGCAGGTAGGTTTTTGTTCTGTGACAAGCATGAAGAGAACTGTTTGTTTTCCCTCTCCCTCTGATTAGGAGGAAAAAAATTAAATCGATGATGCTTCACTGAGAGAGAAAAAATTGAGGATGAGTGTGAATGAGCTCCTGTCAGGGGCCCCTCAGGTCCTGAAAGAAACATCATTTGAGCTCCTCTGTGTTAGTGTCCGTGTCAAGCAGTAAACAGGTTTATGTTCTGCTGCAGGAACAAATGAAATAAGAATTTTTCAGAATGTCATTAGTCCCCTCCTCTTGCAATAGGTTGTAATGGCTCTCTAGCCTGCTGTAAATACTTTGGTAATCAGGCATTCTTGTCACAATTGTTGCCAGGGTGTCATTTCGACAGATAAACTAGCTACAGAAAGCTCAGATCAGAAGTGCTGAGCTTTACTTGGTGAGAAGCAAGTCTTTAGCTTTCTGGTGGGATGAATAACACCTTCTTTAGATTAAATTCCTTTAGTTCCAATTCAGTTTATTTTTCTAAGAGAGGACTGCATTTTAAAGTGTGCTAAGGAGGTAGGGGAGGTATGTGTATGAAAGTAGCTTTATTGAAAAGAAAAAAAAATCAATCTTAGATCTATCTGAGCATTGTCATTTTGGCTACTGGCAGTTACTTAAGTCATGTTTTACAAATGGCTTCAGTGTCTGGTTTTCTACAAGTCTTACAGTTTAAGGGAAAAATAATCTGATTCTTGCTTTTGTGATTTCCTTTTCCCTTCCGAGGTTCCAGCATCCACTGTGGACTATCTGAAGAAGAACGGCATTGACGTGCTGGTGCTGCAAACGGAGAAGGCTGTGGCGGAGTACAATGCCCTGGCTGCTCAGGGTGTCAGGGTGGGCGGGGTATTCCATTCCACCTGCTGAAGCGCTGCTCGTTCCGCCTTCCCGGCCCGCAGCCGGGACACGCCGACACACCTCTGCTGAACGCGATTGCCAAGGCATTTGTGCGCTGACGATCGAAAACGCAAAGACAGTTTATTAGTTCAGGATTTAAACAAATCGAGGGCTCACAAAAGGTGGGGCTGTTAATGTAATTAAATAGTTTAATTACAGAATAATTTCCGTGTATTGTTGAGATTGACCCAATTTTTCTCTGAAGGCCATTCATAGTTTTGTTACTTGACTTTTCACCTGTTCACTAAATCAGGAGATTATGTTTTGAATGCTTTTATTAGAAAATGGCCCAAAATTACATTACTGGTTACTGGAATGCAGCCATAAAATAGCTGATGAGCACAATCAAGTAGTAGATATGAAGTGGTGGTAAAGAAGCACGTTACCACCACTGGATAAATAAGTTTAAAAAAAAAAAATTAAACAGCAAATCGAGAACATACAACTTTACCTCCTGCAGGTGACCTCAGTCAGGGCATTTGCCAATTTATGAATATCACATAATAGAGCACTTTTAAATTTTTCATTGAGCCTGAAAAAGGGGAAAAAATGTCAACAGGGTATAAGCATAAAACCTGGGCCTTAAAGAATTTTCTTATTAATTGCCACTTTTGAGGATTGAGCTGTCTAATACATATCTATTCAGCAGTTTCTACACGCTTAAAATAATCAGAAACGTGTGTTACAAAACTAGTTTGCAGCATAAAACATTGATCTTTAGCACATCAGTCTGAATTGCTGCTAGCAAGGCACTGCTGGCAAGCTGGGGGTGCATGTGCAACTTGTTACTGGTCATCATGATCTGATGATTTACATGTTGTGCCAACAAATATTATTACACTGCAGATTCAAACAGTTCTCTTGGTTGCTGTTCTTGGTGAGCTTCTATCAACATTGCCAGTTACAAGTTGTACCTACTGTAGATTTTTTTTCCCCATCAGGCTCACCATTTCTTGTTCTGTACATATTAATTCTGTGTGTATTAATAAAAGTACCAAGATGAAGCTGCAAAAGCCCTGAGGCACTTGGAGCTATCCAAGCAGCAGTAGAGAGGCTTAGATTGATAGGCGAGCACAATAACTTTCCCAAGATGCACAAAATACTATGTTCTTTTTCTGCTATTTGCTCTAGTACTCGTCTAGAACCTTTTATCTGATAAAATACAAAGTGATGTAAAAGCAAAGTGAGTACTTAAAAGTTTTATCTTGCAGTGTCCTAATGACAGCACTGTTTTCTGTTAGTGTAGCTACATTTGAGGCAAAATCTTACGTAACCCAGCAGGGACTGCCTTTCCAGCTGCATGTGTTGTCTGACACAGCAGCTGGTGTAATGCTCATTGTAGCTGCTGTGACATTTTTCTGCACAACTTGCCTGGTGTGAAGGAGAAGGTGAACTACTGACCCAGGAGACTGTGGTCACCCCAAGGGAATGCCAGCAAAACGAGTTCCTACCAGCCCACAGAGTGTGGAGACTTTTTGCACTAAATGTTATCTGGTAGTGAAGGTGGTTTGACTCTCTTGATCGTGGTCATGTATTTGTGTTATTTTGTGAGCTTCTGGACCTTAACGCAGCCTCAAATGGGAAAAGGCTTTGTAATGCTTTGGCTGAGAAAACACTGCAGTACTTTAAAAAATGGAACCATGCACATAACACTGTTAGGAGAAGTTGAGCAAACACCTTATCTTTCTCCTCCAGGTCTGTTACTTTTTTTTTTTTTTTTTTTGTAACATATTTTCATCTTAATGTGGCACATTAATGGTGATGCCACATTCACCAAAGCTGCCTAGCTCAGGTCCTGCATTTGAGACAAACACTGTGGGCTCCTTACACTGCTGCTGCCACATGATCTGTCCTCCCAAAAGGCATGCAGGGAGCAGAGCCCGTTTTGTATTGCCAGCTGACTGAGGTGTACCTTCCCAGCTTTGTGCTGCAGCCTCTTAATTCTTCCCTTCATTTGGCAACTGGTAGGATGCAGAAGATTCCACTTCCAAAACAGGGAGCCGCAGTGTGCAAAGAAATGGATTTATTTTTTTAAAGGTAAACTGCTAAGTTTCCCCACCACCAGTACAAAATTTTGGTGTCAACAAGGAGATTATTTGCTGCAAGTTTTTCCATCCATGTCTTCTCTTGCTGCTCTCGTCACAGCTTCCTGAGTCAGCACTGTCAGTTCCCACAATAGCATCTGTTCCACTTGGGCTGCTCCAGTCACTGAAAGCCCGATTTCCTTCTTGGTGCCTGAAATTGCTTTGCTAGATGGTGGAAGCAGCTGGGATTGATTCATCAAAAAATTCCAGCAGAGCTCAAACTGGTATCTTTGTTAAATTGCTGCTTTCGGCTAGAGCCATAAATAATTTGTTAAAATTATGGGCTCATAGCCCAAATCATGGGAATGCACTTTTATAGGGCAGGATTTCTCACATACACCACTGCTCTGCCTCCCACCAGGAAAACGATCTCCCAGTAGGCAGTGAACTCCCACCCTGACGCTGAAATTAAAGCCGAGCTGCGGCTGGGCTGGGAGCCAGGAAGATTCCACCCCAGCTGCTCTGCCGCCGAGTGGGTCAGTCCCCAGCCTTTATCTTTGTGAAGCAGCATGTGTGAGCTGGCAGCCCGGAGAAACAGGCCATAAAAGGCTCACAGACACCAAATGCAACACGACCAGAATTTTTAAGGGACATTGGGCAGCATTTGTGCAAAGCCTGGCATCCGCAAGCCTTAAAACTTTGTATTTTGAAGTCCCACTGATACTGCATTAGCAAACTGTAAAGCAAAAAGACAGCCTTTTCTGCATTCCCAGTGCCTGTTGCTAAGAATAAAATGGAAGATGCTAGTGAAATAAGATTTTAAAAGTGATTATAACGTAGGCAAGCAAGACAGGATTCCAGAGGAAATCATCTCTGTGAACTTGAACCAAGGTGATGACCAGTACAGCATGGTGGAGAGTGCAAGTCTGACGAGGAGCAGCCTGAGGGAGCTGGGGGTGTTCAGCCTGGAGAAAAGGAGGCTCAGGAGGGACCTTATCGCTCTCTACAACTGTCTGAGAGGAGATTGTTGCCAGTGGGGTGTCAGTAACAAGTGACAGGACAAGAAGAGACAGCCTTAAGTTGCACCAGAGATTTAAATTGGATATTAGGAAAAAATATCTTTCACAAAAGCGTTGCCAGGCTTTGGAACAGGCTACCCAGGGAAATGGTGGAGTCATCATCCCTGGCAGTGTTCAAAAGGTGTGTGGATGTGGCACCTGGGGCCATGGCTTAGTGTGGGTGGGGTAGTGCTGAGTTTATGGTTGGACTTCATGGTCTTAGAGGTTTTTTCCAACCTATATAATTCAGTGATGTCACACAGTCCTGATTTAAATGTTCATTCATCTTCCCAGGAACTTGCTTGGTACTTTTTGCAGTGAGTGTCCCTGCCCATTTAGTTTTTCTTTTTGTCCTTTTTAAAATAAGATAGGTAAAAGCCACACCAGATCTGAGTTAATGTCTCATAAGCTTCAACTTTGTTCCCAATACACTTATGTATTGTTTTATGAGCTCTTGACTCAGTAATTGAATTATTTACTTCCAAATTTGCATAATGAATTTCACTGGACTTCAGCAATCTGGATATGAATTTCCCACTGAAAGCATTCAAAGCAGCATTTCCCATGTACACAGATGCCTTATTTAAATTAAATCCAGAAAGTTAATGGTAAATAGGACAACGCATTTTCAAACCACTAAGCCACCCCTCTTTCACATGAGGTCAGCATTCTCCTTGCTCTGCCAGATTCTTTTCCCTCTTGCTTCCATCTAACTAGCAGGTACAATGCAGAGGTGAGGGGTGTTTGAACATTGTTGGTTCTTAGCAAATTATTTGCCCTTCCTTTGTAGATTGTACAGCTGTGGCTGCAGCTGTACTGGCACACTGTTCCTACACTTGGAACCATCTGAGAGAACAGAAACTCCCCATACTTGGGTGACTGTCATCTGAAGTCCTCTGTTCCCCCTTCAACAGAGATGAAAGATGCAAATTATTTTTGTGCATGATTAGAGCCCTTTGTTTTTCTTTTCATTCTGAGATCAATCATCTTATAGGCTATTGCAGTGCAGAAGCCCAACAATTATCGAGAATTAAAGGACAACAGGTGAATGACATGAATGCCTCACAGACAACACAAAGAGCATGAACTCTGATATTTTTGAGAGCAGAAAAACCTTAATGTTTCAAACCTGGGGATGGGAACAAAAAGTCAACATCTGGATTTCAACAGCTACAATAGCCCTCGCTTTTTATACAAATTTCTTTTCCAATTCCCCATATGTTGGACCATGGTGTGAAATGGGCAGTCCCATACACATACAGGCAGGGTGGAGAATGGATTGCGAGCAGCTCTGAGGGGCAGCACCTTGGGGGTGTTGGTGGGTGAGCAGCTCAGCATGACTCAACAACGTGCCCTGGCAGCTCCAAGGACTCCTCTGCCTTTCTGGGCTGCATGTGGGCAGCAGGCAAGGGAGGGCCTGCTGCCCTCTCCCCCTCTGCTCCACCCTGGTGAGGTCCCACTTGCAGTGCTACATCCACCTCTGGGGCTCCCAACGTAAGGATGTCAACATGTGGAGTAAGTCCAGGGGAGACCATGAAAATGCTGAAAGAGCTGGAGCACCTCTGCTGTGGAAAGAGGCTGAGAGAGTTGGGCTTGTTCAGCCTGGAGAAGAGACGGCTCTGGGGAAAACTGAGAGCTCCCTCCATTACCTGAAGGGGCTACAAGAGAGCTGGAGGGGGACTTTTGAAAAGGGCATGAAGTGATAGGACAAGGCAGGGGGGCTTCAACCTGAAAGAGGGAAGGCTTAGATTGGATGATGAATTAGTCATCTGCTTGCACAGGTGAAACTGAAGGAGGAAAGGAAAAGCTGTGATGTCTTCCATGATCCAAACCAGGAATCAGAGAAAAATCTACAGAAGAGAAGCCAACTGCAGAATGCTCTCATTAGCAGACTGGAAATGTTCATAGCAGCTTTATATTTTCAGCTTGTTTTAGGCATCTTGAAATTACAGATGGAAGAACTTTTCCACAGCCCTGCAGTATCTGATTCTCAGCAGCAATACGGAAGGCACTCATTCTTTGCCTGGTATGTTATATGGATGGGGATCAAGGACAGTGGGAGGGGAACAAAACAGTAGAAATTTGATCCAGTACTTAGCAAAAGAGAGAAAGATGCCTAAATTTTGATATTGAAGATACCTGCTGTGCCTACCACAGCATCCATTGTGGTCTGGAGCCTATGGACACCATCTAAATTAGAAACACTACTGAGATGACAAACTGCACAAAATACTGGTGAAGTGCAAAAATGAGAGGAAGAAAAAGGAAAAAGTCTGTAATGAGCTCACTCAACTTGTCAAATATCTGCCCAGACACAGCCTCCTAAAGAGAGAGACATCAACCCTGTCT